GAGGTCTTTTTCTTGAAAAGCTGATAGTGTTGTTGGGTGTCCTGCACGTAACTTTTTAACAAAATTATCAACAGGTGCTCGTTTTATATAGTCATGTAGTGTTTGTCTTGGTATTTTATATTGTTTAGCAGCAGAATATTTCGAGCAACCATTAACTAAAACTGCATTTACTGCCATTTTTAATGATTCTTGTGACCAATTACCATATTTTACACGTTTTGAACTCATTATATGAGGCTGTAAAATAATGTTTACATATATATATATATATATATATACATATATATATATATATATATATATATATATATATATATATATATATATATATATATATATATATATATTATATATATATATATATATATATAATATATTTATATAAATATATATATATATATATATATTATTATTATTATTATATGCATATTATTCAATAATATTCAACTGTATGTATATAATTAGTAAATGATTTGTTATATACAATAATAATTATTGTATATAACAAATTATAAAATTATTATATACATATTGTTATGTATGACATAAATTTAAAATATATTGTGGGGAACTATTATTTTGATAAGTTTCACAGTGACACTAACTAAATTTACTTTTTTACTAACTCGTCATTAGTTTAATATTATCTGAGTTACTAAAATCAATTTCTTCTATACATAATATTTAAAACGCTTATTTCCTTTTTAGTTTTGGAGAAACAACAGGTCGGTAAATTCGGCACTGCCGAAATTAAGAACTATTTATAAGCCGAAATTATCTCCTTAAAGCAGTCCTAGTGGAAACTCTTATATCTTGTAAAATACTTTGAGTTTAATTTTATTGTTGCTCACATTTTGTTCAGTGTATATTTTTGAATGAAATAAATACAAATTTTTGGCAGAAATTTTCGGAAATAATCATTTATCCTCTATTTTCAAAAAGAAAAAAATGTTAAGAAAAAGCTAATAATCATAAAATATCGTACCTATAATGTAAAAATAGAAGTTTAAACCAATATTTTTAGAAAAACTGTTTATCTTTCTACAATACTCAATTATAGTTTTGATATTTCATTAAATAAATATTTTTAGGTGTCTTTTGAAGTGGTGCCGAAATTATCTCCCTGCCGAAATTACCCTACTTTACCCTATATAAAAAAAGTTGTTTATTATTAATATGTAAACGAATTAAGTTGTCCGGAGCCACCCTCCAAACATGTGTCCGATACCACCCGATCATACCTCATTCACAAATACTAGTTTTAAAACTAGTAAATTAAAGTTTTAAATGAATTTTTTTTAATAACTGTTGTAAATAAAAATGCATCTTTAATCATTAAAAAGTTTAATCTTTAAAAAATTTAACCATTAAAAAATTAGTTTACATAAAAATTAGGTATATTAATATGTGAATCAAATATGATGATACGTTGCTCTTCTGGTGGTGGGAAACAAAATCTTGCCCTCCCAGTCATTCGGTATATTATGATATTTTGCATATGCCATATTTTCACTCAAATAATGTAATTATAGTATTAAAAGTGACATAGCTTCTTTAGTTTAAGCTGTACATTAAGTGTCCGAAGTTACCCCTAAATTACATATTTTTCAAATACAAACAAGGCTTCTAAAAGAAGATCACAATGATCTTATCGTCAGAATCGTTTTACAAAAAAGAGTACGTAAAATATTATGAAAAACGCCTTTCTACAATAAGTACGTAAAAAAAAGACTTTGTTGAATTCTGCGCATAACCTTGGTCTATTTTTACAAAACGTGGTTTTATTGTCACAGTACTTGCTACTTACAGTTTTGTTAATAATTGCCCTTAACATAAGACAAAAATTGAAGTGTTTGGTCTTGAAAATGTTTGCGTAGGCCTTGGCCTTGAAACTCTTAATCTCGGTCTTGATCTTAAAACTCTTGGTCTTGGCCTTGTCCTTGGCCTTGTAACTTTTGACCTTGGTCTTGGCCTTATAACGTGTGGCCTTGGCTTTGCTACTTTTAGCCTTGTTAACAACTCTGCTTGGTTGTAAGGACATTTTTTCTTTTGAAAAAAGAATGATTTTACGGCACCATCAAGCTTTGCAAGCTTGATATTACCTCTATGTTTTCCGAACTTAAATTTCCGAACTTAAATTCTGTTAAAAGTCATAGTTCTTAAGCACTAAACACGTCTCATAACAACTATTTTTTACTTTTTTTATATTTATTTTAGGTGCCCCAAGAAGTCCTTAGTGTCTTACCATTGAGCACCGCGGAAGAGCATTGAAAGGAAGTTCACGCCTCCTTCCTTACTGATATTATAAAAATTTCCCAGAGGTGGCGTTGAACCAAGGATCTCTAGCTTCTGAGGCAAACACGCTAACCACTGGGTTACGGCAACAACGAGCATATTTGAAAACATCTAACATATTTTAAAGTTTTATTTATTTTAGATTTGAGAGGTATTGTTTGTTTACCGTTAGGATTTTTAGTATACATATATACTTAAATTAAATAAAAGTAACAATAAACAGAACCGTGTTAGAGAAAATAGAAGAAAATGGAATGGGTTCAAACTATCTGAATCCCTTAAACCCTGCTGATCATGAGATTTCCTGTTTCCCATCTCAAGAAAGTTAGTTGTATCGTTCAGCTTGGATAAATGTGAATCTGACGACTATTTCATACTTATTAACTTTTTATTTTTAAAGAAACTAATTTCACACACTGTTTGTCCAAGTTGCTTTATTAAACATTTTTTCATCAAAGAAAACGTTGATTCTCTCATGGGCTTTTGAAATTTGATTGAGATGAAATGTGCAGAGTGTAACTTTTCTAAAAAATTTTAGAACTTCACCAAAGTCAAAGAACTCTTAAAAAAGTGTTTTATTAGTGCTTTTAAAAAAATTTATTTATCTCTAGAATCACCATCGGAGATCAACTTGCAAGCTGTCATTGTATTGCGAGAGCTGTCATTATATTGCAACAAATAGGTGTTCGTCATGAATCAAAGCAAACTTTTTCCTCCTGTATAAACATTTATTGTTTGTCGACTAATGGCTTTAATAAATTAAACAAAACTGTAATGCTAGTATACAAAATTGCTGCTGAGAAAAGCATGCTGAGAGTTGCTTCTAAATCAATAAACAACTTTCTTGAAATTAATGAAGTTCATGGCAAAAGCGAGGTAATAATTCGTGGAATGGTGTTGTAAACTGCTCTTTGTAGTAACAAATGTATTGATATAGAGATCTTTATCAAACATTGCAATGGATGTAAAATGTGGAGGTATAAATTAGAAACTCCATAGTATCAGTATTGGTTGGTCGATTACCAATATGAAATGAATCAGGAGGATTCATCTGGTTATATGGAATCTGTATGATCTGTGAGTATGTTTAACACATTTTTATAAAAAAATTAATTGATATATAAACAATATATTGAAGAAGAAGATACCTTTTAATAACTTAAAAGTCACAAATACTTACAAAGAACTTGGTATTACGCGTTTAAAACTGGAATTTGTTGGACATAAACGGTTAGGAACAGGTTTTTGAAACCTTGTTAAAGGAAAAGAAATTCTTAAAATTCGATTTTTAGTACCAAAAAGGTACTAAAAATCGAATATCAAGCAGAGGTAAACTCACTAAAAACTGGATCAATTTAATGCAAAACTTTTATGGTGCTACAATTAGATCCAATGTGGAGAACTTGTATCTAATGAAGAAAGTGGCTTATGCCATACTTTTTCACTTCACCAATTTTCCTGATTTCTTCACACGCTACCACCGTGGAAAGTACTTCACCATGCTACTTCACCGTGAAGAGTACAGTTGGTGTAAGTACTGGACTTTAAATCAAAAGAATACAGGCCCAAATCTACCATACCTCTATGGATAAAAGATTTAAGATGAATTGTTATCAAAATGCTTAGATGGGAATATATAAAATGCGAGGACTTATTTAGGCTCGTGTACTAAAAATAGTTTTTGTTTTCAAATCAACACTATTAATGGGAATATATTCAGCTTTTGCGATATAATGATGCTGTAAGGGTGTTAATATTGTTTTAAGACATTTTGGTTTACATGGTGTGGTATCAAACATTTCAGCAACTTCTAAAAGTAAAAAAATTAGTCGAATGAGGTGCAAGTCATCAGAAAAGGATAAAAAAAATTAGCAATGTTCATTTGATATGAAAGTTTTACTACTTTACTTAAATTCGTTTAACAGATGGGTTTTTGTTGAGATTTAGAAATGTTTCTCCTTTAGAGTCAGATCAGGGCCGATGACACGGGTTTTGAAGTGAGGGGTCACAATCTTTAGTTCAAGTAAATTAGTAATAAAAGTAATTTAAAAGCATTTTTATTTCGCCCTTTTTTTTTTAATTTCGTGTTGTAAAGAGGTCAAACTATACTTTTATTTATTTTATGGTCACTTTCATAACTTAGAAAGAGGGTAGTCTTTTTGTTTTAAAACTTTTATGTATTTCTATAAACGACTGTTGTTAAAGTTATGATGGGTCCTTTTTAGAATCAAAGGGGTCCCTTTTAGAATCAAACTCATAAAAATTTGAAGTAGTTCTGATGTTCCCGCTTCGATTTTAAAATTCTATGACCACACTTGAAAAAATACGGTTGCGTTGTTATCTTTCGTTTGTTTGTTTAAGTGAAATATTGCTGAACGCAAAATAATTTAATTCGAAAAACTTGGAGACAATTGAAATTTTCTTCTTCATCATCTTCAACGAGTCTTTTTGTCATTGCTATAACGCCCAAATACACCAATTGTACTAATTAATTAGTTCTACTAATTGTAAAAATTAATAGTAATACTATGTTATGTAAACACTCACAGTTAAAACAACCTTTTTAAAAATACTAGTTTGTTGACTGTGATTGTAATTTATTTCAGTTTTTTTCTAAATTTCAATGGTCACCTAATATATTGTATGTTTTGAGTTATTGTAAGGTTTATAAGGTGAAATAGATAAATGTTAGTTTATTTATCAGAAAATTAACAAAAATAAGTATTAATAATTTTTCTATTTTAAAATTTTTAGCTGTTTAAAATAACGATGCAAAATTTTTCGCATATAATTCAGTACCATATAATCAGTTGCATATAATCAGGTACAATTTTTTTTTTTTTAAATTATTTATTAAACAACTACATTAACATTTTAAAATTTTTACAAATTAAGAATTCTAAAATTACTAAATACCATCTTTAAAATCTAGAAAGATTTAGACATTTGTAGTAACACATTCTCTTATACTATTAATAGCATTGTTTACTGATCAATTCAGTTATTTTTATTTTAGTAATATCTAAACTTTGCACTGATTAAATGCAAAAAAAAAATTTTATATAACAATTTATGTATTTTTAAAATGTAATATGATCATATATTTTCTATGTTTGATCTACTAACATTTAACATACATACAAACATTCATATGAATAGCGATAATATTTCGAATATAAATAGCTATCCATTTATTTATTAACAACTTTACTTATTTGATAAAAAAATTTGTCAAGTAAAGTGCTAAAAAATTTTTTACTGCTTTACTATTGCTTTAAAAATGTTTGTATGGATGTTAAATGTTAGTAGATTAAACATAAAAAATTACAAACCTACTAATCTTACCAGTCAAATTTATAAGCTATTCAAATCGCTAAGGGGGATGCTTTAGTCAATTACCTTGAAATGAATCAAGCAATATTAGACTTGCAACACAAATTCAGGAAAGGAAAATCATGTGTGACCAATTTATTATTGTTTTTGGAGTAAGTAGCAGGATTTGATGACAATGGAGATTGTGTAGATGTGATATATTTAGATTTTGCAAAAGCTTTTGATGAGGATCCTAATTGAAGATTGCTAAAAAAATTGTATAGTCATGGAATTGAAGGCAAACGTTTTCAATGAATAAATTCTTGGTTGATTATCAAGGTTTAGCATAGAAAAAATTATTTTTTTAAGAGAGTACTTAGTGGCATACCACAAGGGTGAGTATTAGGTCCAATCCTATTTTTGATATATATTAATGATCTGGATATTAGTAGATACCTTAGGCTTGTGATATCACATGGTTTGAAATCATCTAACCAGTGTATGAGGACTTATGACAATGCAAACAAAATTCTAGTAATGATAAATTGCACTATTGCCTATAAACAATATGGTTATATGATGAAACTATATAAATTGTTAGTTCATCTGCACATAGAGTATTGTACATCTGTTTGGTCACCTTTTTATGTCAAAGATAGAAAACTAATTGAAAAAATGCAACATTGTTTTAGTAAAATGATAATAGAGGTGGAACATCTATCGTATGCAGACAGAATACTTAAACTAGGTCTATGGACACTTGAAGAATGAAGGAACAGATCAGATTTAATAGATGTGTACAAGATGTTGCATGGGTTTTCTACTATTTCATATAAAAAAAGTTTTGAATTAGCCACATACAAAAGAAAAAGAGGTCACCCACTTACACTGGTTTAGCATAGACTCACAACTGTGGTCAGACAATATTTCTTCTTGAAACATGTATTCAACTGCTGGAACTCACTTGATAATGGTACAGTCATATCCATAAATTGTTTCAAATCAAAACTTAATAAGTTATACACAACAAGGATGGGCTTCTTTATGTATTTTTATGTGACTCAATTGATCATAACTGGATTGCTTTAGCAATCCAGTTATGGCCATACTAGGTAAATAATGATATTGCTGTTGAGAATATTTTATTATTCAATTCATGGTGTCAATCAATGAAAAGTGTTTGTGTCATGATGACTAGTCTTTTGCAGGACTAGAGTAATTACTACTGATAATTCACGGTCTGTTGCTATCTAACTTGTTAATGACTTTTCTGATAAGTTCATACTTATCAATGTCTACATGCCTTATGATTCATATGAGAAATATGACAAGTATCTTAAATGCCATGGTTGTCTTTCAGCTTTTATGTCAGATTTAAATGGTAAATTTGTTGTAATTGGTGACTTTGATTGTGATCTACAACTCCAATCTCCGTGTAGTAACCTCCTAGTTGATTTCTGTACTGTTGAACATCTTTTTACAGCTGATATCTGTCTTCCATATGGTTTCTTTACTTTTGTTAGGGGAACATATTGCACATTTTCTTGAATCAATCAATGTCTTGTCTCTCAAAGTTCCCAATGCTATGTTAATAACTACAATAAAATTCAGTCAACCAGTTTATCTAATCAGCGTTTCTTTTTAAAAATACAAGAGTTTTATTATAATATGCCATTCATTGCTGTAAAAAAGAAGTAGATACTATAAAAGTTGAAAAGCTGGCAAACAGTTTAGCAAATAAAAACTAATTTAGTTTCTGGTCTACTGTGACTTGTATTTGCAGTGATAAATGTAGTCTTCCCCCTTCTATTGATTCTGCCTAAGGTCCTGATAATGTATGCCATATATATATATATATTATATATATATATATATATATATATATATATATATATATATATATATATATATATATATATATATATATATATATATGCATATACATATACATAATAACTATTGCCCCTGTTTAACTCAGTCAAGCCAGCATGCAATATAAATGATAGCTTTATTTATACATTTAAACAGTGTAAACTCCTGAAGGATGATTCCCATCCTGTCACTTCTGATAAAGTCCAATCTATCATAAATCATATGACCTGTGGAAAGGCAACTGATCACTTTGGACTTCAGTTAGAGCATTATTTTTATGCTAGCCCAAATTACTTTAATATATTAACATTATGTTTTTCCTCCATGCTTTGCCATGGACACTTGCCTATTGGTGCTTTACACCTATTGGTGTAACCCTGCCTATTGGTGCTTCTTATTTCTCCTGTGGTTAAAGATAAGAATGGTGACATCTCCAATTCTGGTTTTTATCATCCCATTGCTTTGCTTACTTTGTCTCCTCTTCTATTTAAATATATGTATATATATATATATATATATATATATATATATATATATATATATATATATATATATTAACAATCTTTAGAACAAGAGTTCTACTTAATAAAACTATCATAGGCTGCTGCTTGGGTCCTCTAATTAACTTTTTTATGCTGATGATATTAACCTCTAACTAATTTTTTTTTATGCTGATGATATTTTCCTGTGTGCATCGTCAGTCAAAGGTCTCTGGATCTTACTTGAGCAATTATTGAATTATGTTCTGGGCTGTGAAACATGATATAGCTTATAACAATATTAAGTCTCAAATGTTTTTTAAAATTTATGAACCCCTTGTAAATAGCCTTTGTTTCATATTATCATGTATTGTTGATACAGTATGCAATATAAATACCTATGCCATTTGATCTCAAAGGATATGCAGGATGACAAAGATATATAAAACAATTATATTCTATCTGTACTAAAGCTAACCTCATCCATAGAAAATTCAGCACAACGCAAATACAAATAAAGATCATGTTATTTAATACCTTTTGCAGTCTAATTTATGTATATCACTTATAGTACCTCCTGTAAAAAGACTCACTCTATCCTTTATGCATCACATATAATAATGCACGTTGCTTGATATTAAATAAGCCAGTGCTTGTGAATTATTTGTGAAAAATGATGCCCCTACACTTAATGTTGCTATTCTTAAGCAACAATATTCATCATAGCTATATTAAATGTTGACATCTTCAATAGAATTTAATTGTATAGATATTTTAAAACTTTTAAAAAATATTTTAAAACTTCTCAATATAGATTTATTCCTATTTGTTAAAAATATATTTATTTTTACAATATTTCAAGGGAATATTAATACTCTTATAGATATATATAGAATATTTAAAAAAACGGCTTTTTTATATACTTGATAACATTTTTTAACGGCATTTTATATACTTGATAACATCTAATATATATATATATATATATATATATATATATATATATATATATATATAATATATATATATATATATATATGTATAATTTTAAATGTATTCTACAAAATAAAGTGTCCAGGAAAAAAATTTGGGCAGCGGTACCCCCCCCCCCCCCTCACCTCCCTGTTCTAAAAAAATTTAGCGGAAAATCAGAGTTTTTGTGAAAAATACATTTGTTGTAGAAAACATAAAAAAATGTAAAAAAAAAAAATTTTTTTTCAAAAATTTAATTGGGCGCCCAAATACAGTTGACACTGTTAAAAATAGTCGAGAATAGTCCCTGTAAACAGAAAGGAAAAATTAGGTTGAAAAAAAACAGATAAGATAAGGTTTGCAATTTTTTTGCCTGCCTTAAACTATTAGAGATCGGCAAAAAAAATTCAAGAACCATAAATTGTTCCAAAAAACCACTTTAACAAAAGCTTCTTGCCAAGGCCTTAGTATATATATAAAAAATAATAGCTATAAACTCATAATCTTTTAAAAGCCTTATTAAATAAGTATGCAATATAAATTTAAATATTTATTATCTTACTCATCTAGTACTCCATCAAATGAAAATTCTAATAAAGGCTTGCTGAATATATTGTTTTTAAAAATTATATTTATTTATTTATTTATCTTTATAGTTTTTACCTAAATAATTTTATTTATATTAGTTTCGAAGCTAGCTAACCCAAAATTTGTGTCTGCATAAAAAATATTTGTGATATGTAAATGTAGTCTATGATGTCACAGTCTGCACAAGGTCTTCAACAACCAAAATCTTGGGAACTGAGTTTGTATGAGCTTCATCGAACACCACAAGAAGTTATTACAGATGATACAGAAATTGCTATATCACCGAGATCTCTTCATAGCGAACTTATGTGTCCAATTTGTTTAGATATGTTAACTAATACTATGACAACAAAGGAATGCTTACATAGGTTTTGTCATGATTGTATAATAACCGCTTTAAGAGCTGGGAACAAAGAGTGTCCTACATGTAGAAAAAAGTTAATATCAAAAAGATCACTGAGACCCGATCCTAACTTTGATTCTCTAATTGCAAAGGTAAAATTTTGAAAGATACTATTTTGAGTTAACATAAATGATACTTTTTGTTAATCATGTTATTACTAATATAATACATTATTATAATTGTTGCTATTATTTGTTATTGCCATTATTAGCATTACTATTATAACTAATCTTTTATTATTAGCATTACTATTATAGTTAATCTTTTACTTATTTTCTAATGTTTATCTATGATACAACCCGCAGAATTAGGAAAAATAAGGTCAATCTTAAAAAGTTTTTGCCAACCTCAATCTTTTTTAAGGTTGGCATCAGGTCGGCAAAGATTATTTGATACAAAGATCTGACCATAAAACATAGAAACAAGATCGGCATTGCCGAATGCCTACCCTAATTCTGAGGGTTGATGATATGAACACTACTTGTCTCGACACTTTGGGATCCCTTTAAAAATATTTATAACAACAGGCAGCAGGGTAAAAAAAAATAAATGCAGCTTGTCAAAACCTAAAAAAAATTATATAAAATTTCAAAATTAATATTTTACATTATATTTTAAACAATAAAAATAAAAATAGCGGGCTAGTATAACAGCCTAGCTCTTAACATTAAGGTGAAGCAATTTTTATAGCAAAAAAAAAAAGAAGTTTAAAAATAAACATTCCTAAGGTGTGAATGGTTTCTATTAGTTATAACAGGAAAAAAGAAAAATATATTTTTGGATTAAGATGAGTTTTTGAGATTCCTTTTGAACACAAAAATTTTGATAAATATTAATAATTTTTTTTTTTTAAACTTTGTCAACCAGTTACTCAAAAGATGCAGAGCTATATGAAAATATTGTTTTTATTCAAAATTAAAAATATACAAATAATTTTTGTTTTGTTTTCTACATAATTTGCAAAAAAGCAACAATTTCAGATAAAAATTCAGCAGTTTGTTTTTTTTTTACAATAAATAAATTTTTTAGATGGAATTAATATTTTTCGAAGCCAGCATTTTATTGTCTTTTTAGTACTAATTTAAAACAAAAAAAAAAATCTTTGTATTAGGATTACTCAAAAATTTTGATTAAGAGAGAAGTCTCAAGAACTTGTTAAAAAAAAAGAAATAAAAAGGTAATTTTTTTACTAAAAGACAACAATTTGAAACACAAACAAACCAAATTTCTATATTTTTTCAAATTGCACTTTACTATACGCAGTGCAAGTCTTTTTTTAGCTAGTTTAACCCTTCGCATCGGAACATCTCAAAAAAATATTTTATAAAGTATACTTGATAGCTTCTAATAAATAAGTAAACACATACTTTTTTGTTTTCCGAATTTTATTTTTTCATGAACAAAATTTATAAAAAATGGGAGTGTGACATTTTTATCACAATGCCTTATAAGTGCAAATTAAAATGCTTACACTGGATTTTGTGAGCATTGAATAGGTTTGTCACAAATCTGTCATATGACTATACAAAGGGTTAACGTCCTAGCTCTACATGATAGTTAATAATTATTATTTATTATTATTATTACTATTATTATTATTATAGTTTATACTGAAGCTGGTAATCACCAGTAACTTCCAACACTAATTAGTGTTTGCTTGCAGCCTTGTTGGAAGCGAAGATGTTAAAAAAAAAAAAGCTAATTAATGGTGCAAATTGAAATCGCAACATCTCCCCTAGCTCAACAAGAGCTCATACATACTCAATTCACTACTTCTTCCATAGCAAGTGAATCAAACAGGCTGTAAATCTTTCTTAAAATCTGTTGGATAGTTTTGGTTAGCACTGTCCATGTACCATCAGCTTTTCCATCATCCAGAGGATTTATTTGAAGATTTGGACAGTGATGTAATAGTAGTTAAAACTTTGTTAACAGTAATTGTTAACAGTGAGTAAGCTAAAAACTCATTTTGACAGCTTTTATAATATACAGCAATTCAATCCAAAAAATTTAAAATTTAACCCTCTTAGGAAAAATGGATCAATTGAGTTTTTTCATTATTGACATGCATTTTTGCACGTAGTGACCAACTTTTTGACCAACTTTTTGCACGTAGTGACCAACAACGACACCAACTAGCGTGGTGTCATTGGCATACAAGTTCATTTTTTATGTTAAATATGTCTAATTTGTTTTTGAAATTTCAAGTTTAATTTGTTTCTATGTTGTTTTTTAAATTTAATTTGTTTTTGTTCTTGCTATTGATATGTTGACTTTACACAATCCATTGATAATTTTTTTCTTGTGGATTTTAAAATCACAACAGTATTTTTTAAGTGCTTCATATCTAGAAATATAGGCTTTTTCATGGTAAAAACATATCTCCTCATTTGTTTCAAAAGTGTATCCTATACTTTGCTTTAAAACCTCAAATAAGTATCTTTTTATTACCTACCATTCTACAATATGACATCACAATCTTCATTTAAAATTCTTCCTGCGCAACATTTTTCTGACATTTTTTACATATCTAAAAATATTAAAATACCAAAAACATTAAGGCCAATTATTAACAAAACTCTAAGTAGCAAGTGCTGTGACAATAAAACCACATTTTGTAAAAATAGACCAAAGTAATTCAAAGCAGAATTCAAAATTTTCAAGACCAAGGCCAACAGTTTCAAGACCAAGGCCTCAATTTTTGGCCTTGAGACCATGCCAAGGCCAAGGACTAATAACTCTGATATGCGTTTAATTTTAACATAAGTCGTTTGTGTGTCACGATATCAAATGCCTTTGCAAAATTTAGCATGCTTTTTATGTATTTAGTGTTTTTTTATGTATCTATGTAATCAATAAAATTGTCATTTGAATCAAGTGTGACTTATTAGTTTATCTGCTATTACTGGCATTGTGTTGCTTTTGTTTACAAAGGTGCTGTGAAACTGGTCAGATATTTAGAATATCTGCTATCTATTTTGGTTATTTGTTTCAATACCATTAGTGTTCAAAACAGTTTCAATTAATTGCTTTGTAATCCTCTGACTATTTACATATTTATAAAGAAGTTTCGGATTTCATTTTGATTTTGTTATGAGGTTTCTTTCATAGTCCTTTCTGGCTAATATGGCTTCTTTTGATACTAATTTTCTTTTTGTTTTGTATGCCTTGACCTTTTCTGCATCTTTCCATTTGGCTGCTAAAACTTATGTACCGTAGATATTTTTTTTATTCTTACTAATGCCGAAAGATTATAGCTAAAACTCTTGTGTTTGTGTTTTGCACTAACAACAATTTTTGGCATATATAAATTAATCAGATGTTTAATATAAAAGTATCGTACATTTGTTGTTTTTTAACTGTGTTTCTGGCAGTTGAAAAGTTGCAATATTATCATGCTAAAATTAAAATTCGTCATTTATTATATCAGTAAATATGTATTCAATTGAATTTTCATATATACTTTTCCGGATAATGTTGAAAAAATACACAATATATACACTATTCCAGATAATGTTTGGAAAAAATAAAATCTCTTAGTATTACTCCATCTGCATGTATTATATTATCGACTTTTTTATTTTTGTTTTTTGCACCATGTAAAATTTGTTTGAGATCATTCATGTCTAATTGATTGTTAGGTCTATATATATACTTCCAATGAGGTATTTGATATTTCTAATTACAATGACAGCCCATATTTGTTCTATTTTGCTGTCCTGGTTACCAATGCTTATTTCATATGATATGAGGTTGTTCTCTATGTACAAGGCAGCACTCTATTTTTATTGTATACAGTGTAACCTAACTGTACATTGAATGAGTTGTTGTATTACAATGGATGAGTTGTACAATGGATGAACTTTTTGCCAAACTTATATATATATATATATATATATATATATATATATATATATATATATATATATATATATATATATATATATATATATATATATATATATATATATATATATATATATTATAAAAAAATATTTAAAATATTCATTTAAAACTAAATTTATTACTCAATGTTTTACTATTTTACATTGCTTCAAAATTTAAATTTTTTTAAAATCATATTTAATTTAAAGTCTTCTAAAATTAAAATCTTTTCTTAAAAAACAATTTGTTTCTTTGCTTCACTTATTTAAATTTCTTTCATTTTACTGGTGGTTAAAAAACTTTTTTTGATAAATGATTGAAGTTCTTATTTTATTATTGTTCTAATAAAAATGTATACTATTTTTATAATATAAAAGTGTATAACAATTCCTCTATATAACTAAAAACATTTATTCTTTTAAATGTACTTAGTCACTTTTTTTTTTCCTTTAAATCTTTTTATTTATTTTCTTTTAAGTTTTTGCTCCAAATGTAATAAATGAATGATTTATAGATAAATTTAAAATTTTCTATGGTAGGATTCTTAGAAATGTTTAGTAAAATCTTGTTTTATTGCAATAATTTTTGTCTTTCATAAATGTAGTAGTCTTTCATTTTTTTGTAAGTTTTGTAAACAATTGTCTTCTTAGTAAGTACCAAGTTTAAATAGTAAAAAATTTGGGCATGAGTGTTAATAAAGTTGCGGACAAGTGTTAATAAAGTTGCACACAAGTGTTAATAGTTATTAATAACTTTTTAACAGTTTTTAAAATGAGATTATAAATGAGATTATAAAATATTTTCTCTGCTCATTAAAATCAGAGGTATAAAATTATTCAAAATTTTTGTATGTAACTAAAAACATTTTTACTACCAACTGTACTTTCATTTTTTCAACTATATTTTTTTATTTAATCTTTTCCCCACAAATGAGAAGCCATTGCATTGAATGAATTATTTAAAAATAAATTTGAAATTATCAGTTGCCTTTTTTTTTTTTTTTTTTTTTTTATATTGAATAGTAATAGAATTATCAATCATCAACCCGTCTTAATGAAGAAGAATAAAAAGAAACAAACAACGCTTTCATTTTTCAATAGAATTCATAAAGCGATTTCTTTTATTATTATGTATTCAGTTTAAATTTTTTTATATTGTATAAAATTTGTTTTGATTTTTTTTTTTTTAATTAATTATTAAATTACTTGGATATTATCAAATTTCTTTTTTTAATTAAATGAAAATAAGTGTGAGCAAGCGTAATTTTAAACAAATTAACATTAGCAGGTAATTTGAATGTTATTTATATATGAGTTTAAATTTAATAAATGCGTTGATTTTATTTAAAATTTATATTTTTAATAAGTTTATGAGTTCGTTAATTTATGGAATATTTATTTATAATGGAATATTTAAACTATCTTTTAATATCGTTTATGTGGCGTTTGTTCAGAATATGTTAGATCGTAAAAAAAGCATTTAAAATTGTAAAAAAAAAGAATATATGAGATTGTAAAAAAAAGCATTTAAACTGTAAATTATTTTAAATAGCTGTGTGATTATTTTAAATAATTTTTTTTTAATATTAATCATATTTAGTATTAAATATGATTAATATTAAAAATCTAGAGAGATTTATGTTTTACATAATGAATTAGTTATCAAGAAAAATATTTTTTCTATAATAATTATTGCAAAACTATTTTACATTTCTTCAAAACTAAATTTAAACTTTTAATCATACTTAATTCATATTAAGTATTAATATGTTCATATTAATACTTAATATGAATTAAGTATGATTAAAAGTTTAAATTTAGTTTTGAAGAAATGTAAAATAGTTTTGCAATAATTATTATAGAAAAAATATTTTTCTTGATAACTAATTCATTATGTAAAACATAAATCTCTTTAGATTAAATCATCACAGTTTAAAATATGTGAAAGCAAATAAAAAACATTAATTTTGCTTTTAAAATGTTTTTGATTAAGAGAATTCTTTTCACAAATATATTTAAAACTTTTTGTTTCTTTTTAAACAAAATCATGTAAAGTTCTTTTGGCATAATTAATTTCCCAACATAAACTTTGTTTGCGAATATCTTTGCTTATAATTTGCTTATTGATAACTAAAATCTCTATAAATTGTTTATAATCAATTAAAATTATTTCATTACATATGTAAATACATTAACAAATAAATAAGTTGTGATAAAGAAACAGAAGATTATGTTAAGAATAAGATTGTTTTAAGAAATAAATTGTAAGAAAATATAATCTTTTCCAAATATTGAAAAAAAATTTCATCAATAACTTTTGTTTTATTAGGTTTGGATGATTTTTAAAGAGGTTTAAAATTAAATTTATTTACAATGCAGTACTTTAAAATTTCAGTATTTGTTACCAATACCTATCAAAGTACTCAGTAAAAAGTATATAAATATATTTTCTGACACTTGTTTTGATTTATAGACTATAATTTTTAAAAAAAAATTTAAAATTTATTTTTCTTTTGTTGTATGTAAATTGTGTTACCAAATTTTTGGTATTTTACAAAAAAAAAAAAAAAAAGGAATATTGCAAAAAACAATTTTTTGTAAACAACTTATCTCCTACCTATTAGAGACTGCTATGAATTTCCAAATAAATTAGTCTTTAAATGACAGTAAAAGTACCATTAAAAAAGTATTAAGCAATTTATTCATGTGTTTTCATGCTTCTAATTTACAGCCAAAAAATTGTAAAATTGAATTATTTTTTAAAAAAAAATTCTTTGAGCTGGTTGCTAAAATTAAATGCCTATGGGTTGGAATCGTCGATTTATTTTTAAGATACTATATTTTATTTAAAGAAAAAAAATATTTAATTAAAAAAAATAATCATAAATTTAATGCTAATGAAATACTATGAAATTTAATACAAAAAAAATTGTTGAAAATGATGAAGACTGAGCAAATTTACAATCCGATCTAGACGATTGTTAAATAGACACAAACCTGGCTAATAGAGTTAAATGTAAAAAAATGTAACGTAATGCATGTAAACTCTGGAACAATAAAATTTGATTATATTATGGATCAAATAAAAATGGCGGCACAACCATAGTTTAGAAGTCACAAATCCAAAAAAGATTTTCGAATTCTAATCTCCAAGAATGTTAAATATGCTCAACAGTGCAATATGGCTGCAAACAGAGCAAATAAAATGCTCGAAATTCTTAAATACATGTTTGTATCAAAAGGCATTGACATTTGGAAAAAAATTTACACTGCATATATTAGACCAAATCTGAAGTTTGCCATACAAGCTTGGGACCCTTACCTTGATAGTGACAAAAAAAATTAAAAAGGTACAACGCAGCAAAAGTTCCTCAGGCTATGAAAAATAAAGACTAGAAAACTCAATGTAAAATCATGAAATTAACCGCTCTTGAAAACAGACGGAAAAGAGGCGATTTTATTCAACTATATAAGCTTCTCAACAATTTAAACCTAATTGATTAGCATGTAATGCCTTGCAGCATAGCACCCAGAGCTCATTATTAAATCGGAGTTCAACCATGTAGTCAATGACTGGAATGCTTTGCCAGATAATGTCATCGAGGCAACATCAGTTTAACATCATCACAACATCAATTTAAACAACTACTGGACAGTTTATAGTCATCATAGTTGCTACAGCTCATCATTTACCGTAAATGCCACGCAAAAGTGGCCGTCATGCGAGTTTGGTATAGTTGCGTATACTCAGCTAATGATGAGTTTAACAAGGCTTTGCGTAACTTATTTAACTAACTAATACAAATTGTTTATGTTCAAAAAAGGAAAAAAGTGAGTCAACCAGTTATAATTCAGTCACTAAGAATTGGTTATTAAGCATTTAGACTTTTAAAAACGTCAGCATCTTTTTGGAATACATCAATCCTAATAATCCTAAATAAGTTAAATTTCATTTTAAGAAAAATGATAATAACAATGTTAATATTTTTATATGTTAATATTTTTTAATATTAATATTTTTATATGTTAATATTTTTTAAAGTAATAACAATAATAATAGCGGTTTTAAAAAGTTAACTTAAACTTTTTTAAAACAAGTAATCATAAAATAAACACACCTTAAACTTTTTCATTAAATCAGGATGTCTATCTTGAAATGTTTTATGAGGTTAGAAATATTTCCACTTTTTGTAATAAAGATTCTCCTACATTGTTCGCAAGTTGGCATATTTTTGTCTACTATATATATATATATAAATTATATTATATTATTTTAAAAAATATTAGTTAGTAAATCAATCATTAATAATAAGGTTGTTTAGATATATCCTAATCGAGACGAGTATGAAGCTCATCAAGAACAGGCACTCGAAAAGTTACATCAACATACCAATCAGCAAGCACTGACCAACAGTATAGAAGAAGGTCTTCGTATTCAAGCTAGAAACAGGTAGTCTTTTGTTGCAGAAAAATAATTTTATTACAACTTTCAATATTTACAAGCAATTTATTTTAAAAGATTTTTGGAATTTCTGTTACAAATGAAACTATTAATTGTGTTTTTTATTTAGTTCTGGCCCTGACTAGAACCTAAGTAATAATTAAATGATTTTACATAAAATATGTTTTTATATCTTAAATAAAATTTAAATTATCAAATCAGTTCAGGATTTTAATGATCCCCCTGTTATTAGTCCAATACTATCTGCCCCGTGTCCTGCTGCGATGTAAAATTTGCTTTTCTAGGCAAAAGCTAGAAGGTAACTCTGACTTATAATACCTCCTGTTTTGGGGCTTTTGGTTGAGTAAAGGCTGGGATGAGGCAATAATAATACTCATTCTGGGGAGATGTTAACTGCATTTAGCTTCCATCTTAAAAAGGCCTTCTATGCAAAAACTTTATGGGTAGGGAGAAAATTTTAGTTGAGCAGCCTCACACCACTTCATCATCTAATAAACTGGTTTAGATGTAAACCTTTGTTACACTGTTTCGTGTCTAGGATGATGAGTTCTGGATTTTCATAACTCTATGGGATTTTGTTTGTGTCTCCTTGTTAGTAGCATGCAACTTTTTCTGTTATCTCCTAAGGACCTTCTATGGCTGGTTGGTAGTAAAGTTTTGTGGTAAATTGTGGTAAATCTCAGAGTAGCTAATTCCATCATCTGTCAAAAATATCATAGTATTAACAGTTGTTATGAAAGGTGTAGTAGTAGCTAATTGTTATGGAAGGTGTAGAAGGTGCTAATTCCATCATCTGTCAAAAATATCATAGTATTAACAGTTGTTATGAAAGGTGTAGTAGTAGCTAATTGTTATGGAAGGTGTAGAAGGTGCTAATTCCATCATCTGTCAAAAATATCATAGTATTAGCATGTTGTTATGGAAGGTGTCACTGTTAGTGGTTTTGATGTGTGTTGTCAAGAACACATTAGGATACCTTTTCACATTAGCAATTCCTATTAGTCTATGGATAAGTTAACTATTAGTTGCTTTACATAATAGTTTACTTATCCATCATAAAATGGGGTCAGAATAGTTAAGCTATTCTTTCATGTGTTTTGTTCATCTTAACTTAATTTTTTTTAATGTTATTTCCTGTCGTTTCTCCTTATTCTTCTTTAAGTGGTTCAGATTATAATATAATCTCACTAAAACTTTTCATACTACTTCTATAAAATTCTTATACTTCTTCTAGACTCAACCATCATACTTCATCATGTTCTATCATATTTCTTACTACTACTTTAAGGCTGACTAGGGTTTTGACTTTAGGGCTGACTAGGGTTTTAACTTAACAATTGGTACTACTACTTTAAGACTAGGATTCTCTTTATCATTTTTTTTTTTTTTTTCATAATAGTCCTTGGGTTGAACTCTTTTATCTCTGCTAAAAATTGTGCTTCCTTTTTAATCTCTTGAATTCAGGTAGACATAGAACCTTTTTTCTCACTCTTCTCCTTCATGTACAGCTGCTGATTTTAATCATATTTTGTTTCATTCATCTTTTACATAGGAACAATTCTAGATTAGACCGGGGCAAGGGCCAGGTTTATATAATAAAATATCCTAGCCCCAGCTAATAACCCCTGCTATATTATTGTTCAGCTGAAGTCGAGGTTCTAAAAAGCCCTATGTTTGGCCAAGGCCAGGACCAGGGCCAAGGTCACTTTCTACTCTAGATAGCAAACATCTTTGGCATTTTGACTCATTCTTTTCTAAATGTAGGATTAAGTCCCACAAAGTTGCATCCTTGGTCCGCAAGTGCTTTAAATTTATAATAAGGATCTTTCTTATAATCTTATGATTAAAGTGGCTCTATTTACTGATGATATATGTTTATTTGCTGATGTTTATTGGCAACAATATATTTTAGATATACAACGATATATCACTTTTATTATATACTATGATAGTAATTAATGTTATATTTTCGCGTTTTTAAAAAAAGTGTAGTTTAAACAGGGTGGCCAGCCAACTGGAAATCAGGGAAATTTTTGTAGTCAGGGAAAAGTCAGGGATTTTCAATTTTTTTTCTGAAAGTCAGGGGAAAAAATCTCTTTTTCAAAATTTTTTAATTTTTAATTCAAATAAAAATTAATATTCATTTTACTATACATTCATAAAATCATATGGAAAAATAAAATATGGTTGCTATTATATTATTACCTAAAGTTTGTTACATATGTTTAAAATATATAAATCTATTTTATTTAATTATTTATAAATGATTTTATTTATATGTTAATGAAATGTTAATAGAATAAGTCATTAATTTAATCCATCATGGGTTTGGCTGAAACGAGCTAATGATAAAACAAAGGGTATGTGTAATGTATGCAGAAAGATATTTTCTCAAAGTAATATCTGTTTAAAATGGCAGTCAAAAGTCGTGAAAAAGTGCATTTAAAATATATCTTTACAAGCCAACCAACAGTATTTGATCATTTTACTAATAAGTCACAAAAAAATACGGTATCACAAGCAACTGTTTCATCAACATCAATTTTAATAGCTTCTAATCATTCCCATTAGCTTTCTGTGTGGCTGAATATTCTCAACCAATCCCAATCATTTCAACAGATTCTTCCAGCACAACAGTACCTCCTTCTCTTGATTTATGGGTATATATATACTGCTCAAAATGATGTAATATGTTCTGAAATACTTTGTGCAATATACATTTTACAGCAGCATTTCTCTTTCAGATCAAGTTTGAAAATTTGACAACTGTTTCAGTTTATGTTTCTAGCTTTATGTTTCTTATCTATGTTTCAGTATAAGTTTTATAGCTAAAAAATGACAATTGGGAAAACTAAAATTATTACACATGGTTATCGGTAACATCATACATGGTCTTGCCCCATACTTCCATGATCTAGTTTGCCCCATACGTCCATGATCTAGTTTGCCCCATACTTCTATGATCTAGTTTGCCCCATACTTCCATGATCTAGTTGTAAAAGAAGTAGTAGTTAGTCATGCCTCTGCAAATGATTTGTACAAAGGTTTTACAAGTGTTTAAAATCGAAATCTTTAAGCCAAAATTTTACAAATTTTTATGGACGATCAAATGTGAATTAGAAATTTTTGATATTCTCAATGATGAGTTTAGTAAAAAGTTTGAAACATCTATTCTTGAAATAAGATCAGATGGCCTACATGTTGTACATGGTGCATCTCACGCAGGTCATAAAAAGGCAAAATAGAAAGTTAACGCAGTACTCATCATTTTCATGATCAGTCTAGCTCGTAGGACAGGTTATCAAACAACTAGTGGAATTTATAAGTTTCTTCTGAAATTTTTTACAACAAGATGGGTTAAAAATGTATCTGTATATCAAAGAGCTTTAGGTATTTATGATAAATAAGGGGTCGTTCATAAAGTATATGGTTTTTTTTGCGTCCATCTTCCTACCCTCCCCCCCTCTTTATTTTGCGATATGCTTTTTTCAGTACCCTCCTCCTCCCTAAAAGTACCTACGCTTTTAACCTATTTATCTAACATTTTATGATGTTTTTTTTTAATTTAGTGTCTTCTTTTTTTTATAATTGGCCCAATGCCCTCCCATTTCATATACGCCATCTGCAGGCCCCCTCTTTCCCTCTGAGTGTACATACTTTATGGACGATCTCTAATGTGAAGTTGTATGTCATGCAGTCTAAACTACCTGATAATTATACTGTAAACATTGTTACTGGTGCTGTCAATGATCTTCTGCTGCCTGCTAAAATTGCTTTTTTTTTTTTTTGATATTTGGTTTCAATTGCAGAGCTGTTCTTAAGACTTTTTTTGTCATATTCTCCATTATTACCATTCTTATATCAAGTTCTAGAAAAGCTAATGAGATCTCTCATGCAGAATTTTATTTAAAAAGTTGTGTTCGAGTAAGTAAAATCTGTTATAAAGCTAAAGATATTATAGACTTGACGGCGTACAAATTTCGCCAAAAAGAAGTAAAAATTGGTATTGCAACTTTTTCTCTACTTGGTAAAATAAAAGTAATTGAATGTCAGAAATTACAATTTCAAAGTGGTTGTATACAGTTTTACATTGGAATTGTTAATAAACCAATAGAAAGAAGTCCTTTAAAATATAAACTTACAAGAGCTATCTCAGCTTTGAACCTCTTTAATTTATGTTCTGATTCTAATTTTGACTCAAGAAAAAACAGAATGACTGGTTTACTCACTATCTTTCATGAATCGATATGGATTAATGCTACAATAGCTGATCCGACATGCATTGTGGAGCTTCCGACTGAACGTGTGCCAATCAATAACCTAAGGACTACGCTGACACTCACGCACACGTTCAGTCGGAAGCTCCACAATTCACGTCGGATATCTTAATACTGATTGGCCAATCAGTATTAATATTTATTTTATCCAATCTATGGATGCCTCAAAAAGGCATCCATAGATCAAAGTTCACAAATTATAATTTTTGTAATGATAGGTTGTACATTTTTTAAGGCAGATTTTTAACGACTTATTTGTATACAAAGTTATCTTTACTTTGTTTCATGGTAATGCACAGGTTGAAAGTGGGTGTTCTTTCAATTTAGATGTTCTTGTTGAAAACTTGTACAAGAACTCTGTGGTTGCTCAATGACAAGTATATAATGAAATTTACCATAGTGGACTTTGCAATGCAGAAATAACAAAATTAATGATCAAAAGTGTAAATATGCCCCATTCACACTTCAACGATTCATTAAAACAAAAAAGAGAAAAAGCTCTACAGAAAATTAAGGAATTAAATGCTGAAAAAAAAAAGTTTACTCAACATCATCATGAAGATAAACTTGAGATAAAACTAGAATTAAAAATGCTATCACGCAAAATGGAATGAACAGATTTACATTAATTTTGTTTAAAGAGATTTGGACTATTTTCTCAAATTTAAAGATAATTTTTGTTTTGTAGCATTTAAATGTTTTGAAAAGCAA